TCGATTACCCAATTATGTTATTTACACGTGGAGGAAGTAAAAGGAGTATCTACTTATGTTGAGAATTGTGAATTGACTTGTAAGTTACTAAAAGTTGCGCTGTACCACGTACCAAAGTACTTTTGCGTACAGCGTCCGTTAATGATACATATTTAAGTACTTCGTACCCACAATTTTTCAATAAATAAAATAAATGTTTTTTAATCTGGATGCTCAAAAATATTGAGAACAGACTACAGTCTAAAACAACATTGTTAAATGAGGAGTGACCGAGTATGCATAATGTATCGGTGTTTGTCCCTGATGAGGTGGTAATATGTCCCGAGCTGGGTGTCTGACGGACGTCGTATAAATTTGCATCATCGCACCGTGTTGCTACGAAAGGAATTATATTTTCACTGATATTATGGTGTTTAGATTATATAATTTTATTCACCATTCCGTTGCAGCAAAAAGTAGTTTTTTTAATGGGGAAAAAATCATTGAATGACTTCTCTCTCCTGGGTGAGACACCTCGAATTGGAGCCCCGGTAACCATTTACGTTCTCCGCAGCTCCGTATCGGCATCAGCCCTATTGGGCCCCATCCGTGGTGGTCTGAAGGTTCTTTGAAGGACGCGTGGAACCCAACGAGCCGTATGCTCTGGTCTGGTTCTGGTCTGGCGGCGAGCATCGCCGTCGGCAGGCCCGTGCTTACGGTGGCCGGAGATCGTACCGCGATCCCCGACGCCCGAAGTGTCCTTCGCGACGGCTGGGTTGTGAGGAGGCAGCGATTCGCTGCTTCACGCACCTCGCCTCCTCCTTAGCTAACATGATCCTGCTTCGCAAAACGAAGAGACAGCATACCAGTCTTCCTCGCTCCGCATCATGGTCCGGACTAGGGCCGGACGCGAGAGGTTGCCGTCGCCGATCACATCCCTGGGGGCAAGGCGGTGCTCCCATGCAGGGCACGCCCCACCTTGTGTTCCGTTCGGGTCCTCAGGCCGAACAAAAAACAAGTCGATGGGTGCACTTCTTGGCTGTAGACCTTTTACTGGATAAAACTTGTAGCCGGCGCGAGCGCATCCTTTATTCTTATTATCGCCAACCGCAATAATTAGACTTCAAGCTGGCTGAAAATTTCGAAACAAAAAATCAAATTTTGCACAGAAAATCAATTGAATCTTAACAAATACCTGGAGCCATAATAAATATTTTACTTTATTTATATTCTAGCTAACCTGTCTATCTGCGTCAATTTATTATTATTTTTATTTCTAATGCAAGGCTTACTAAATATCTCATAAAATTGCATCACATTGCGCCTCCATGCCGCCATCTACACAGGTAGCGACTTGTCTATTTTTTGGGGTCCAATTTCCTGAACGCTGGCCCAATCTGTTTTTCAATAAGACAATGGTGACTCAGGGATGTTCTCCGAAGCTTTAGCCAGTAAAAACTTTTTAACAAAGTTATTTTTCATGAGAATTACATCCTCGCTCGCCATGGTGATTGATGAGGTCCAGTCACTATTTCGGAGAATATTGGAAGTATTTGAGGAAACTTAACTAAGCCCGACTCAGATTTTATTTATCGTTGGACGACAATTTTCCTTTTTAGATTCTTGGTAATCTTTCAAATATCTTGTCTAGACTGAAACGTACAAAAAAGGACAAATCTTTGAGGAACGCTCCGTTCATTCACCAATCGCCTCTTTGTTCCAGTGTCATCTGATCCTCTGATGTATTAATTAATTAATACGACAAGTAGCGGTGGCGACATTTAGGGCGCTACCGATGAATCAGAGAAGCCCTGCAAATAGAACTGTGTATTCTCATAATCAAGTCGTCGAACCTTATTTGGTTATTACCTTTTTAATAAAATTGTGACTTTTAATGCAAAATCTGCATTCTGTGGAGTTCGAAGACCAGACGAAGGGTTGTTGGCCGGCATTTCAATCTACCTACCAACGTACTACCCCAATACAAATAATATGTATAAGATGACAAATGGTTCAAAAATCTAAACGAGGTCGTGCACCTTTAATCAGTTCCGCAAACGAAAAAAATATTTTTTTTCTATAAAGGACTCGTGATGGCGTTACCTTGACGTGATCAGATACAACCTTCGAATATATTTCGTCACTAAAATAGACGGTCGATGAACTTCATTGACTAAGGTAATGACGAGAATTATTTTGCAATTAAATTCATATTAACATTTTTGGAACAAATGTCACGTATCGCCATTTGACGACCGCCACCCGCCGCCTACCTGTGCGCCAAACATGATAAACACTTTTTTGCTCGTTACTATTGCTTTTAGTTACTTTGAAATATTTTATCTAATCTTTAATTGGATTTAATTTGCATATTTATTATGAAAAATGTGTTTCAATTTTAGTACATAGGAGGTTCTTTGAATCGGCGTATTTCATAATTATTCAGATACCCAGTGCGTGAAATTATCATGGAGTGAGTTTTCAAAATCGACAACTACCTACTTATCTCGAAAAAAGAGGTAAGTATCCCGATTTTAACGCTGAATATGAATAAGCCTCTATGTCTAAGTATAACACAAATCTAAGCATTTCCGTGCTATTTTCCACCTATCCAGGCCCCTCATAAATTAATATAAAATTCAAGAATAACTGACAAACAGCGCAGCGCGTCTAAAAAAACAACTCGAGCCATTCCTATGTATGTAGAACACATCTGCGTAGGAAGACTACTAATAAATAAATATATTTTAATTCTTTATCGATCGTGTTACAACTAGTACATAATGATTAATTGTATTGTAGTTTGGCGCCAAAATTCCACACAAAAACGTGGCTGAACGACCGTGACTCTTGAACGCAAAAAACTGCGAAGGTATCGACTATTGGACTTGCTTAAGATCCTCTACAAGATATGAATCTACAACGCTTTAATCTACGAATAAATAATATTTAATAATCACCGCACTTCACCATATAAAATGTTAGTTTTTATCCGCGACTTTTGTGTATTCAATGTAACCATTTGTGTACCTATTCATATTTTTATTAGTTCACTGAAATATTGAAATGAAATGTTACAATTTGAAGACCGAGCATTGCATTTGTTAGAGAACGCAATTTTATTTTCGAGACTCGTGTGGGAAGTTATTAGAAGCTTAATCTCAAGTTTGCAGAGTCACCACCCTTGTCCCCCGGCTGCTATCAGCGACCAGCTTATCAGGGTCACACTTTGTATGATCTTCCCGTAGATTTAAGGGCCAATTTATACTGTCCACTCATGTCCCAAAAATAAAACTGCGTCCTCTAACAATGCAACGCTCATGATACATTTCAATGGACTATGGGATAGACTGGCAAACAAGCAGATGAATCACCTGAATTCCTTGATGGTTAGCATCGACGCCAGCTCAAACCATGGACACCGGCAACATCAGAGAAGTTATAGAAGTGTCCTTTTGGGGGCCTTTTTTTTTTTTTTTTTTTTTTTAAGGGGGGAAAATCATCGAATGACTGCCCCCCGCCTGGGTGAGGCGGGAGGGAGTGTCAGACTCTTACTGACTAAAAACCACCCCGTTCCTTCTCCTGCACGTCGAGCCGGAGCCCCGGTTACCCGTTAGGTTCTCCGCGACTCCGAATCGGCATCGGCCCTATTGGGCCCCATCTGTGGTGGTCTGATGGCTCTTTGAGGCGCGCGCGGAACGCGACGCGCCGTACGCTCGGGTCTGTTTCTGGTCGGACGGGGAGCCACCCATGCTCGCCGTCCGCAGGCCCGCGCTTACGGTGGCCGGAGATCGTCCCGCGATCCCCGACGCCCGGTGTGTCCTTCGCGATAGCTGGGTTGCGAGGAGGCAGCGCTTCGCTGCCTCACGCGTCCCGCCTCCTCCTTAGCTAGCATGACTGCTTCGCAAAAGGAGGAGACGGCATCCCAATCCCCCTCGCTCCGCATCATGGCCTGCACTAGGCCCGGACGCGAGAGGTCGCCATCGCCGATCACTTCCCTGAGGACACGGCGGTGCTCAGCCCACGAAGGGCATTCTCCCACCGTGTGTTCCACCGTGTCCTCAGGGCGGTCCTCGCAGTGATGACACCCGGGCGTTTCCTCCCGCCCCATCAGACACAGGTACCTCCCGAAACTTCCATGTCCGGTGAGGACCTGCGTCAGGCGGTAGGTGAGGACGCCGTAGCGTCTCTCAAGCCACTCCTCAAAGAGAGGACTTACCGCTGCGATGGCAGCGAGCCCAGCCCTCGGTTGCGACAGTCGTTGCTGCCATTCCGCCACTTTTGGGGGCCTAAGATGAGAAATGATAACTGACGACAAAGGGTGGGAATCAATACTAAGCACTATTCTATATTAGTTTCTGTGACGCTGTGGTACACTCTAGTCGAAATTACGCGCGCTTTTTTGGTTCATCCCATCTTTCCCCCCGTATGTGAAAATGGTAATTTTCGTCAAAATGTCCTAAATGTAGTAGTGGCCCAGAGGTTTAAGACGCCTGCTTTTCGTGCATGAGAGTGCGAATTAGAAACCTACCAACGGCAAGTAAGTACCTACCTACCGATGTGACATTTTCCGAGGTATATGTTTCTTTCAAGATTATTAAGACTCCACTGACAAATGGTGAAGGAAACATCGTTGGGAAATGGGAATCCTGGACTTATAATTATTAATCCTCAATCGTGGTGATTAGTGCTCAAAGTTTCTCCGTGGGAGAAGAGAATTTTCGTGGCATTTCCCCTGAACTACAAATTCGGTCTATCGAGACAACCTTCCATCTCTTCTCTCGCTCTACCTCTACCAACACTGTAGAGCACCTACCTATATAAGATTATCTAGGTTGAAATCAAACAAATTCACTTTCGCCAATACCTTCTATTTATATGGCATTTTAGGATAATATAGGCATCAAAATGTATAGGTGTGTACCACCTACCTGTCTTTCAGCATTTACGTAGATAAAGGTCACACGATCACATCAAGGTCTTTGAAAAAAAAAGATCTTGCATCAATGTTAAATGTGTTTATTTGAATGCTTAATAAAATATTCAGGAACGATAAAGGACATTATGTTAAGTTTTTGCGAAATTGGTCTACAACGCAAGTTACGTTTTATTTATGGTTTCTCTGAAAATGCTTTAATAGCTGTCGATGAGTGGAGAACAGTACATCTTATCGCCAGTCAGCTTCTTCAACGCAATCTGACGATCACGCTCACGGCGCATCGCCTTGAATAAAAGCAAAGTAAAAATTAGTTTTGTTAGCGATGCCTCCTTAATTTAAGATTAAGACACTCCAGTCTGGAACTTTGAGAATGCAAAACCCATTTCGTAAGTTATTTTCAATACACAACATGCGACTTTTGTGGCCGTTGAGTGTTATGTTGCACATTTAAATAGGTAAAATGACATGAGTTATAGTTAATTAACGTGAAAAGTATAACATAACATCACGCCTTTTACCCCACAAGGGGTAGGCAGAGGTGCCTATTACGGCACTTAATGCCACTGTACAATGTAACACCCACTTACCCCTATTTATATTATGAGTCCTATGTATGTAATAAGGAGTGAGCCTATTGCCATATACCGGGCACAATTCTAGACTCCGTGCTATTACTGAGATTTTTTTTTAAACCTCTAAATCTTTGCCCGACTCGAGACCACTTGCCCGGCAATTGCACTTGCGACCACTCACCCAACAAGGCAGTAACGTAAAGAGATAGGAAATAAATAAAAGTAAAGCATTATGGCACTCTGCACTTAAGCTGCACCTAGGTAATGTAGATATCAGTCAGTAGTAACACAAAGCTTAAGCGCCTGATACATTTGGTTTCGAGTATCACATTTAGGTAATCGTTTTTTAACTAGGCGCCTTCTAAAACTAATATAGCCAATGGCAATAAATATTTATCTACCGAAGTAAAGACAGGTAATGAAATCTGAAGTGCCTACATAATATTTAAGTATTATAAAGTATTGCAACGTACGTAAAATCGTTTGAACTGTTTTGCATTCGTGTGACATTCGCGGAAATCGTCGACCAAGTAGTTACATTTCACTAGGCCACGGTCCAGGCCATAAGCCTCCAAGCAGTCCATCATTGCCATCTCCTGCATCTGGCAACGACCCAACATCTGGTGGGAATGGATCCCCCCTGTGAGGTCCGTCATGGGGGAACGTAAAAATGGCGATATATTATGCATTTTTTTGTAAAAGGCACTCGACTAGATAAATTATTAGTCGAAGAAACTCAGAAACTCAATAAGATTGATATTTTTTCGATAGTTGTGTACGTCAAATTCAAATTTTCTTTACTGAAAAAAGAAACGCTAAAATAGTTTGTATATTTTTGTAAACTAAATAAATTCTTTTTTAATTAGCCTTTTCGCTAACACTTTACTTAACTTGCATTAATCTTTTAGTTAACTCGGACTTTGGTTTGTTATATAAGAATATTTTTACAGACTGGAATGTCGCGAGACGATAAAGTAGTAATCAATAATCAAAATAATAGTCATTTATCACACTAGCAGTGATTCATTAATAATTTAAATTTTATTTGTATTTACCAACCCTTAATAAGGAGTTGTGACCTAGAAATGCGCTGAGGCATCGCATGCTCTTCAACAATATTTTAATCCGACTTGCTTCTTGCTTACCTCGCAGCTTGTGGTAGGTATGTTTTATTGAAACGAATACAGATTTTCCCTTGACTTATTACAAAAGCTTTCTTCCCTAAAAGCAGATAACAGTTGCTGTGGGTTTATCGTTTATGGTGGTTGGTGGCGAAGTGGCGATTGTCAGTCGCAACTTCGCAAGAGACTTGTTAAAGAAACAAATACGAGATGTCGCTTTCTACGCAATTTTAGGCTTAGTGTACCTTGGCCATTATTTATACTCATGAATAATACTTTTTTCTGAAGATAACTAAACTCAGTAAACTCATAATATGCACGTTTAGCCAGTTTGATTTGACCTTGATCAAATTGACCTTGTGTTGGTGAAATGGTAAGTACCTACTATCTTTTAGACATTTGTGTTATAAGTTCTGAATAACAATAAATACCTACATGTTTTGTTTAAAGATAAAGATAGTTTTATTTGCCAAAACATGTGTAGGTTACAATAATACATGCAAAAATGAATGTTTACTATAGATGTACAGTATTGTTTGTATCAACATGCTTACCCGTGACCGGTGTACAAATATTAATTAATTTTCCAATAAATCTATAAGTAAATGTCAAGCTACACTAATAATGTCAATAACAATGAAATAATAAAATCAATAGAAATAAGTTATAAGAAACTAACAGAATAGAATAATTACATATTATGGTTAAGTGCTACAATTTAAATATCATTACATTCAATCATTCAAACACATCCATCACTAAGAAATTCATTTACACTATAATAACATTTTTAATCAGGGTACTTTTAAAAGTTGTTTTAAAAATATTGGCGTTCAATTTTTTCATTGAGTTCGGTATGTGATTATAAATTATTGGAGCTTTGCATACTACATTTTTCTGTAAAAGAACTGTTTTAGTAGGCCGGACACAAAGTCTACTGTTGTCGCGGCGTTGACTATGGGAGGGTATGTGAGTAAATAAATGCAGATTATTGTGAACAAATAAAGCTGTTTCGAGTATATACAGTGACGGTAGCGTGAGGATTCTATGCTTAATAAATAATGGTTTACAGCTTTCTGTACTTTGTATACCGAACATAGCGCGTATGCATCGTTTTTGCATTTTAAATACCAAGTCTCTGTCAGTGGAATTACCCCAAAAAATAATGCCATACCTGAGGACAGATTCAACAAGCCCGTGGTATGCACACAGTAGTGCATTATGGTGGATGGTTGGAGCAAGTTTATATAAGGCGTATGAGAGACTACTGATCTTTTTACATAGTGAGTTTATATGTTCTTTCCAGTTCAATTTACTGTCAATAGTTAGGCCAAGAAAACGAGCCGTACTAGCTTCTTTTATAATGTAATTATTATATGTCAACTTTATATTCTGTGAATTTTGTGATCTTTGTCCGAAATGCATAATATTTGTTTTAGTCAGATTTATTTTTAAATTATTATTATTCAACCATGAGATTATAGATGTCAAAGAGTGATTAATGTCAGAGTTATAATGGTGAATGTCCTTACATGCGATTGTAACAGTACTGTCGTCAGCAAATAATGTCATAGGTTGATTTGTTGCATTTGGCAAGTCGTTAATATAAATAATAAATAATAGTGGACCCATTACGGTGCCTTGGGGAACACCGTATGACACATAACGCTTCGTAGAGGTGTATGTTTCTTTTTTTTTGTATTATAATTTACTTTACTTATAAATGTCATTTGTTGTCGATTTGTTAAATAGGATCCAATTAAGTCTAAAATGTTTCCTCTTATACCATAAGCGTCAAGTTTGTTCATTAGTATATTTTTATCTACGTAGTCGAATGCTTGTGTCATATCGCAATAGATAGCACAGACGGGTGACCTTTTGTCAACATAACATAACACTTTTTCTATAAATTCATATATTGCTATATTGACTGATTTATGTTGTCGAAAACCTTTTTGTTCATTGCATAGTATTTGTTTACTTTCAAGATAGGTATAGATTTTATTGTATAAATATTTTTCAAAAATTTTTGCGAATATCGGTATTAAAGCAATTGGCCTGTAGTTATCCATTATTTGCTTGTTATCTTTTTTGAATAGAGGCTTTATAATCGATAATTTGAGCGCGTTTGGGAATATTCCCGCTGATATGGACAAGTTAATAATTTGGCTTAGGTGGTGAGATATATATTCATTAACATGTTTTATTATTTTGGTCGAGACTTGATCATACCCTACACTGTTTGTGTTTTTCAAATTTTTAATAATTACACTTATCTGTTGAGGTGAGCTTGGTGCAAGAAACATAGAGCTTGTTTCGTGTGGTTTCTTATTTTTTAAGTATCGATACCAAAGGATCAGTATTAGGACCAGGGCCTTGGGTTTGTGTAATGTAAACTAGTTTTTTAAATAAAATCTATATATTTTTGGGTTAAAAATCATGGAAGAGATACAACAAATAGGTAAATTGATTAAATTATTTTATTTACACCAGTATTACAGTATATTCTGTTGCAAAAATTAAAGTAACTATTGGAAAAGGTTGATCTACATAAAATTAGTAGCTATCAATTTTCGGTGACACAAATTTCTCATCTCCAGTCAATTTCCCTGCAGCAATTTGCCTATCACGCTCTCTGCGCATTGCCTGGAAATATGAAAATAATAATTCAGACAGATAATTATAAGTAGTATATAAAGGTATTCATTGAAGTGTAATAAGAAAAACTGAAAATAAAAAACAAAAATCAATACACAGTAACTCGTTGAGTACCATCATTATAGACACAATAGGTTGCGGTCAGCGGTGACCGCTCGGTGTTTGACAGTTTAATTATCAAATGGAGTTTAGTTTATACTTGTATTATTATATACATTAGCCCTATATACATTAGTATTATGTATATAGGGCTTCCAATCTGGATATCTGTATTATACAGATATCTGCCAATTTTGAAATTCAGATTTTACGGATTATTGTCGTTCGCGCGAAGAAAGAGTTAACAATAGACACTCGGTAAACATTTACATCTTACTTTTTTAAACTGCTTTGGAAGGAGGCTATTAGTTTTTGAGTGTTTGTATGAGCATAAGTAGGTCTACGTAACATACTACAGAACGGCTAAGAAGATTGTAAAGTATGATATATCTGTAGTTTGTATACCTATGTATAAAAAAAAATGTAATCGCGGATTTTAGACACCATATTGAGATGTGAGGTATCAAAATAAAGGATTTTAAATACCTAGTAATATAAAAGTTACTATTAATATACCTAATAATATGATTGGACGGACTCATTAAAAAATGGCACTGGATGCAGCACGCAATGCAGCCAGTAGTGCTTTGCATGCTGTGACTTCTAAATTTAGTATGTTTCAGCTATAATAAGTATTATTAAAATATCCGTATTATAAATATGTTGTCAGTTGTACCTATGTATTATTAAATCAACATATACTCTGTGTTATCTTAATATTTGATTCAAAGAGAATAATAATTATTCTCTAATAGGATATTATAATACTAAGTTTATCAGACTTGTTAGAGAGTAATGTATATGGCATGGTAATGTAAATTTCAAATTTTCAATACTTATTCTAAGCACACATACCACGAATCTTTTGTACTGCTTCATTGAGGTCTGGCATTCATGGAAGTCGTCAAACAAATGTGCGCATTTGACCTTTCCGCGCTCAAGACCGTAAGCCTCCAGGCATTCCATGTAACGACCCTCCTCCTTCTGGCAACGACCCAGCATTTGATGGGAGTGAATACCTCCCGTCAAGTCCGTGAACGGAGAGCGGAGGAATGGTGAAAGAGACATTGTTATGTCTGAAATACACAAAATAATTCTTCAGAAACTACATTTAGGTTACAAAATTACGTAAACAAATGACATCTAATTTTATGATCATTTTTTGCATGTTTTATTTTGATTATATTGCATTTTGTGTGTTAATTTTAACAAATGAATGTGTCTCTATTCTATTTTCCCATGCAAAACAAATTACCTTAAAAATTCTTTCGAAAATCGAATTTGATCAATGATTTTCTGGTCGAAAACAATGATTTGACATTGACAGCAATCTATACTGTCAGAGTCATAAATTTGACACAGATAAAATAATTGTATTACTTCAGGTTAAAATCTCAGATATTTTATTGTTCAATTTATATAATAAATCTAATGCTTAATGTAATATTTTTATGCTTATCAAATTATATTTACAGAGCAATATTGTAATAATGTTGAAAATTTTCAATATGACCGATCCTCGTTATCATATCGATATCGATAAGTTTTCTACTCGGGACTCGGGTACTTACTGTTACTGTCAGAAACAGCTGAATTGGACATATTGTATTGAAGTTACAAAAATTGAACTCTCCACGTAAAACAAAACAAGTTATTGTAAAATTTCAAGAAAGTACATAATTTCAATGAACATGGAGCAGTGGATTAGTGAAGGATTGTCCAAAATCTTGGATTTCCAGATACCGGATGATTTAATAAAGTAAGTTCCATTGAAGAAACGTGTTCCTGTTTTCATTCTTAAACTTGGTACATGTTATATGGTTTTACAAGCTATTATGACTATGGGTGGCTTGTGAATATAATTTTAATTGTAGTTATGTTAAATTTTCAGATACATAATGTCTATAGAAAGTGAGAATGATTTGAATGAGTACATGAAAACTCTGCTCGACTTTGATAACTCACAACATAAAGGTTTCTTCCTGGAACTTTGCAAGAAAAAGTTCCCAAGCAGAGGTAAGTTATATTTATTTATTTATTAACTTAACACAGTTTACCAATACAATAAAAATATTTCTAATTGCAAAATATTATTTTGTTGATTTACTTATTATTGCGCAATATATTATACAGTGCCATACATCATAATATTATGAAAATATTATTTTACTAAATTTATTTATATAGCCTTAATGATTATTACAATCATCACTAGTTAACTATATTTTACTTCCACTGTCTTACGCTGAAATGCTCAAAAGTAAATTTTAAGTAGCACTTAAGTATAGTTTTGTCATAAATTCTTAATAAAATAATAGACACATAACATGACATACATAACATAACATCACACCTTTTATTCCCGAAGGGGTAGGCAGAGGTGTACATTATGCCACTGTACAATGTAACACCCACTTTTCACTATTTATGTTATGAGTCCCATGTAATAGGTGGTGAGCCTATTGCCATATACCAGGCACATTTCAAGACTCCTTGCTACTACTGTGTGTGTACTGTAATTTTTGAAAAACCCCAATAATACTTTGCCCGACCCGGGAATCAAACCCGAGACCCCTTGCCCGGCTGTCATACTTGCGACCGCTCAGCCAATGAGGCAGTCACAATAATAGACATGACAAGATATTTAAGTACAATGTAAAATTGGGTAGTCTTTCAGTATTCGGAAGATGAGATTAGTCTCACACCTTAGTCTCTTTAGGTGTACAAATACAATGTAACCACTCTCTTTTCTTAAATTATAAGTCTTACATTAAATAGATATGGAGCCTTTGGCCTATGTCCACTACTAACAATATTTATCAAATTAACTAAAAATTGCAGTTTACTCACGTGTATACATATACTGAGAAAAGCTCTACTAGTTTCGAGCCACTGAGGGACTCTTCCTCATGAGTAGAGTGAATTTGCGCAGCCTACATTGCTGACCGTGCAAGTTTTAGTTAATTAAGTATGTTTTACGATAGTTATTTTACTTACTAATTATTACAAAAACTCCAGCCGCCTCACAACCCAAACAAAAAAAGAAAATATCGAAGAATAAGCAACAAGACTTCATCAGTGCCCCACCACCAGTTCAAGAAATAAAGGAACCTGTGGAATCTGATAGCAAGTCCAAGAAGAAGACCAAGTATGTCAACTTGTACTCACAAGAAGGGAAGAATGCACAAGTAGTGTTGTTAAAAGGTATCATGTTTGTGTTTTGTTAATTTTTCTTTTTGTGTAATAGATTATCAACCTTATTATAATGGGCTATGGCCTAAAATCTGTTATATTATGAAGTCAGATTGGATAGCTTGAACTTTTGACTTAATTGCAAATTCATAATAGGACTAGCTATTTCCGCGCGGTTTCACACGCTCTGCTCAGCTCCTATTGGTCGTAGCGTGATGTTTTATAGCCTCCTCATCCTCGATAAATGCGCTATGCAACACAAAAATAATGATTCAAATCAGACTTTACTTCTGCTTTATATAATAGTATAAGATGTGGTTTAAAACTGATAAAACCAATTGAAAGGATATTTTTTTTAAATGTTCAAAAATATTTGTAAAAATAGTTTGAATTGAGTTATAAAAAATATTTTAATATTTTGCAGGCAGACACCGCTGTGACTGTCAAGCTTCCAAACATGATTTGGTCAACAACTGCATCCAATGTGGACGCGTCGTGTGCACGCAAGAAGGCTCAGGACCATGCCTGTTTTGTGGTAACCTGGTAAGCAATATCATTTTAATTTCAGACAATTGTACCTAAATATAACTACATGAATAACAAACAGTTGTAAAAATAAAAAGTTCGCGCAACGTGTCGCGGGTTCGATTCCCGCACGTGTGTGTGATCTTTGTGTGATCCACAGATTGTTGTTACTGGTATGGGTGTCATGTGTATGTGAACTTGTATGTTTGTAAACGCACACACGACACAGGAGAAAATCCTAGTGTGAGGGAAATTTTTTTTTCTAAAAAATAAAAAAACTTTTGCACAAAATGTTTTACACTTGCGCAAAATGTTATGCCAAAGATTTAAAATTTTTCTATCACACGTAATCATTAATACATTCTAGGTATTATTAAAGCTTAAAAGTTAGTATTTAATATTTCAAACTGTAATAAAAGCAAAGTTAATAAAAAAAATCTGTCTTCTAGGTTTGCACTCCAGAGGAACAAAAAGAGATTAATTCGAAGACCAAGGGTGCTGCCAAGCTGATGGAGTCTTTGATGGAACGAAGTAGACCTAAAGGATGGGAGGCAGCCCTCTCACACAGGAACCGTCTACTGGAGTATGACCGCACTAGGTACGCATTGTAGATTATTTTAATATTAATATCATATGCATATGCGTAAGTTAACTAAAGTGTGGGAGAGCCATGCTTCGGCACGAATGGGCCGGCTCGACCGGAGTGATACCACGGCCTCACAGAAAACCGACGTGAAACAACGCTTCCTTTGTGTTTCGTCGTGTGAGTGAGGTTACCGGAGGCCCAATTACCCCATCCCTAGTCCCCGTCTCCCGAATCGCCAAATCCTCCACAATCCTCAAATTCCCAATTCCCAAAAGGCTGGTAACGCACTTGTAACGCCTTGGTGTTTCGAGTGTACATGGGCGACGCCGATTGCTTACCATCAGGTGATCCGTCTGCTCGTTTACCGGTTTATGCTATAAAAAAAAGTTCTATGTAAAATTAATATATAGCAAAATAACAAAACCCCCAGCATAATTCGAAGGTGGTTCATAATATTACTGAATCGTTTATTTAAAACTCTTGTCATGTCTTGTTACACAAAATTATTGTTTCAATTTGCAGTGAGCGTCGTACCCGCGTCACGGACGATGATAGCGACTACTTTAACGCTAACAGTGTATGGCTGAATGCCACTGAAAAGGACAAGTTAGAGAAATACCAACAATCTCTCCATGAAAAGAAACATGGCTCCAGGCTCAATAAAAAGATGACATTTGATTTTGCTGGTAAGTAACACTACTATTTCAATTTAATCAAAAAACTTCGTTATGTTTTTATAATAACTATCGTGAAACATACTAAATTAACTAAAATCGCGGGTTACTCACGTGAACATACTGAGAAAAGCTCTACTAGTTTCGAACCACAGAGGAGTTCTTCCTAATGAGCAGCGTGCGCGGTCGCGGCGACGTCGCGCAGCTCACTGAGTACGAGTAGAGCTTTTCTCAGTATATTCACGTGAGTAACCCGCGATTTTAGTTAACTTCGTTCTGACTTTGTAGTAATGCCGTTTGCGCAACACTTGCGCAAAATGCGTCTTCCTTGCGCAAACTAATACATTAATGTGGGCTTATAAATATATCTATTTTCGTTTATTTTATTTAGAATGTTTCCCTTAGATTAAAACCGGTGCTAAAAATCTGTAAATCCAAGATGTATTAAAATAGTAATTTAACTTATTGATTCATACAACTTCAAACTCAAACTAAAAATAGTCTTCACTTAGATAAATACATCGAATTTTCCGTTCTCAGGTCGTCAAATAGTAGAAGACAACACAATAGACTATGAGCCGGACGAGGATCAGATCAGACAGATGACTACTGACAATACTACCAGTGGAAGCAAGCTGCAACATGACATGTTCATTGGGGTAGCCAGTGACAGGGACGTCGCGCCTGGAGTTAATGCACCGCTTTTACAGGTCAGTACATTGTCAGAAATTGTAAATTTTCAGGAACCTCTCTTTTTAAGGGAACCTCTAAGCTAACACTAACACAAGTGACACTTAACAACATTTTGGTTTTCATAAGTGGTGAAGGTAAGGGGTTAGTTTATGTACTAAGTAAGTCTTAGTTAGGAGATTGTTTGGCGGTCATAAGCTTATTTTAATGCAGAAAGACCAGAGCAGAATTTTGTTCAAGTGCTTCTTTCATTTATAATCGTTTTGAAATCCATTGTAACGACTTTTCAGCCAACTGCAAAAGAAGGATAATACTTATTCATCGACAAATTTCAAATAGTTATGAAGCACGCTATCTTTACGGTATCATCATTCACCTTTTAGTACTGACTGAAATAAAATCTATTTCAGTTCGACCCTTCAGTAGAGACTAAAGGCTACGCTCAGGTGACCAGAAGTAATCCTGGCCAGCAGATGCCTCGCGTCCAGGACATGGAGCTGCAGGAGATGAGTGACACCGGCCGCTGTCTGTCCATGCACCAACCCTGGGCTTCTCTCCTTGTTGAGGGGATTAAGCTGTAAGTAGTTTACTTATTGACCAGGGCCTTTAGCCAAACGCCAATTTAGCGTTTGTCTACAGAGAGAGTAGAAATCAAAATGTATGACACTGACAAGTGTGAAAATTTACGTCAATTCC